TAAATAATACCTTAGTCCAAGTAGAAATTAGTAGTTGTGGTTGAAAGAAAACCCGTGACTGTAGTTGACCAATGGGAATTAAAAAATGAGCAAGGGAACAAATAACAATTGAAAAGCTTTCATTGTATTGTCGGTGTTGTGATACCATTAAACAATAAAAAAGTTTTGCCAACTAAAAGTAATGGATAAAATTAGAATTTAGTAATTTCATTGACATAATAAAATATCAAAAATAGGACTTTATTTTTTATTTTAACATACAAAATAGGTCTTTATTAATATAAAACAAAAATGATAGGAGGGACGGACTTAATGAATTTGCACAAGAAAAATACTAATAATTATTGATAATTTTAGCTATATGTTAGGGGTTCCATGGACATAGGCATAGCTGTTAGGTTTTCACAGTAATTATGGTCTGATGATCAGATCCGAGACCAGACCAATTTATTAGGCTGCAGCCTATATTCCTTAGCATGTTCGTCACCCACATACAACACTATCACTCTCTGTCTCTTCCTCTCCCGCAAGAGAGTGAATCGCATCGCATGTTGTGAAGTTTTTAATAGTGTGGCTGAAGTGGGCCGAATTCCCCCAAGTTAGCCGGGCCCATATCAGAGAGTTGCTGGCTAAAAGTCTAGGTTTGGCCCATTTGACTATGATTGTTTTTGGAATGGGCCTAGACGGTCACATTTATGGACTCTGCTTTACCAAGTTTTCATCGGGTGAGTCTTCGGCTAGACGGCAACTAGAAGCCTTCCAAACTTAGACATACATACATCGAACTCAAAAAAAGTTTGGATTTATTTTGTAATTAACAGAATACGTAAAAAGATACTAAATCCCTCTTATTCTCTACTTGGGCAAATTGAATAAAGTTAGCTGAATATGTTTAAAAGATGGTGGGGGCACCAAAAATTATTCTCACATATGTAATGTTGCGTTACAAATATTGGTCTTACTATAGAGGGGATATTCTTTGAATAATGTATGGTGGTGAAGTTATCATTCATTCGTCATGAAAATATGACCCATTTCTATTACACCTCGGTAACCATAGCGTTGTTCTTGTTCTTGTTCTTATTCAAAACTCATGGATTCCCCACACCCATACCCACACTTTAGATGCTATGCTCTCTCTCCCCGCTTCCTTCCCCATTTGATTCACACTTCCCCTTAGTGAGTTTTGGTATTAATTTGCTTGTATTCCTATTCCTAACTTTAAGAATCCATCCAAGTTGCACATTTTTATTTTATGAGTACAGATAGATAGGGTGACAATTCCCAACCGTCCTGATTTGAAAATTGAATTAGGTGAATTGCTGTTTTTGTTGATGATCACTTCTAGTGCAATTCCACCATCAATTCTGATACGTATATTTGAAGTTAAGTATTATTTAAATATAATAATTTATTATTGATCTTTTAATTGTATTATTAAATATTAAAATTTGATGTCAACTTAATAATTTTTAATAGAATTACATCATTAAATTAATAAATTATATTAAATTTTTAGACCAATCTGCATCTTCATCTCTGGTGGCCTAAATGATCGGGGGCCCATGGGCTATAATTTAAATTTAAAGAGAAAGAAAAGGAAGCCTCAATTCCTGAGGGCCCTAATGTTCATTGATCTTTTGTTCAGAATTTCCACGTGTATGGTGTCGATCAATTCTCACTATTGGGGCCAAGAAGCTGACGAAGACACTTCGATGATATGTCGGAAGCCTGCTATTGAATGTACCTTATAAATTTATAAGAGCAATGTTGTGACGTAAACTAAATTTAGAAATTAAATTTGGAGTTTTTATTAATAGTTAATTATCATGTCATTTAAATTCTAAATTTAATCAGTATAACATTAGTCATAAAAAACTAATGGTAAAAAATATTGGAGGTGGTGCTTAAACTTACACATACATGTTAGTTTTCTTAAACTTTTGTGACTATTTCAAATGTTTAGGCCAAATCTCTCTTACCTTTCTTTATTAATAGTATAAATGACTAGAAATTTCATGTCTTACCCTTCCTAGTACAATAAAATCACACATTCGTCATTTATATCTCTGTTACAACAACGGCTAAATATTACACAATGATGTATGAGGGTCTAAAGAGAGCAGGGAAACCCTACTATAATACACCATTTTCTGTATGGATACACCCACATATATTCGCCTCTCGAAACTTCTTTAATTCTTTTTTTTTTTTCCTGGATTGATCTGAATGTGATGGAGACTAATTTTGAACCATGATCAACGTGACAAGGTCTCTGAGATGCCATTCTTTTCGGCCCAAGCTGGCCATAAAAGCTGACTCTTGGCCTTCGATCTTCTCTTAATTTCTTGTCAAAATTTCCTTGAGGAAAAAGGTAGGGTTTGTTTGTCTCTTTGTTGTTTGTTTTCCTTTCCGTTTGTTTTTTTTTTTTTTTTACTTGTTTTGCAGGTATGGGTAGCGGAGAGAAAAGTCTCTTCAACATACTTATACACTTACCTCACGTCCTTCATCACCACCAACATGATCACCAAGTGAAAGATGTACCAAAAGGGTGTTTGGCAATCAAAGTTGGCCTGCAGGGTGAGGAACAGCAGAGATTCGTGGTCCCAGTAATCTACTTCAATCACCCACTGTTCATGCAGTTGTTGAAAGAGGCTGAAGAAGAGTATGGGTTTGATCAGAAGGGGACAATCACTATACCTTGCCATGTGAAGGAGTTTAGGTACGTCCAGGGCATGATTGATAAGGAGCATCAACACCACCACCACCATCTTGTTGGTTGTTTTAGGGTTTGAATCATCATAAATTCTTGTGGTTTAATGTGTAAATTCGATGAGTTCTTAGGTCTTTTTGCTGGTAGGCAGAGTAGCTGCTGTGCACGATTCTGATGAAAATGGCGACGACTTTGGATTCTAATGAAGACAACAGTTGATTGCATTTGCAATTACTTTTTTCCTTTATTAATTATTTATTAGCAAAAGCAATGGTAAAGTGAAACCAAAATGATTTTCTCTTCCCATTCCCCTCTTTATTTAGTTTACTAATACCTTCAACAAATACAAATACTTGAAAATTTAATCTCTAATGGCATCTACTTTACACACACACACACACAGTAATAAAAAAGTAGAATAAATATCAGACAGTTTTTTCTCTCTTGTTGTTTTCTTCTTTTGCAGACGTTCTTCTCCTTATTCAAGTATGAATGACTTACATTTCTATTTATCAATTCAATTTTTCTCTCACATGTAAGATTAAAGATTTAACAGATGGACTCTAGTTCAGATAAATCCTTACTATGGAATGGACCCTTATCCTTTATTTGCTTGCATCCAACTAAAAGCAGCGAGCCAGCTGCCAGCGATTATCCTTTGGAATGAACTGACGTGTGTGCTGTGCTGTGCCTCATTTCGTGCTTTAGATGTGACTTCCATGTGGCCTCAAAAACTATTATTGTTATTTAATTGGGACCGCTATGAATTCGGTAGGCGGTTGCCACTGGAAAAAGAAAAATGAAGTGCTTAGATTCTCCGTTGAGATCAAGCTTCTGTAGGTTTAACAGCTGTGACCTAAAGGGATACCCCCAAACAAGGATTTTGGTACAGTATGGAACGGAAAATTTTTAAGATCAAATTATACAGTTTAAAGGTAAAATTATAATTGTTTAAAGTAATTAATGATCGATTATAGAATGTTGTGATCTATTGTGAGTTAGTCCAATCAATTCTAACATCTTTTTTAAGAGTTATAACTTGACCTTTAAAATTATAAATTTTTAATTATAATTTTGGATACAGTACAAAAGGATACTTGAGTCTTCCTCCTTCCTCCGGTGGCAGTTTCCAAGTGCTTGTTGGGTAGTATTTATTGTGCTTTTCAGGTGAATTCATTGTGTTATTATTATGGTTCGTAAATAACAAGTACCAACACGAGGGAATCTGTGTACCTTTTGAATTGCAGTAACCCATAATGCCAGCATCTTAGAAAGATTTTTTTATTTTTTATTTTTGGGTAAAAATATAAAGTTTTTATGTACTCCAGTTATTATTAGTTCTGTTGCTGGCGATTGGGAAGTGTTTGTACCCCTCTTTTGTTCAGCAAAACAGGAATAAAAAATCAAATCAGAAGAACATATCAGCTAGGCAGATCGTCCGTCAACAAAATAATCCCTATATGTCGTGGCACCAATTATTTATAGAGTACTATGCGAAAAGGCATTGTTACTTTAATATAATTTAAAAATCTAATGCACTTTAATTATCAAATTAGTAATGGAATCCAATATTATAGATAATTCAGACACTTTATGACAGTGGAACTTAAGACCGCAACATAATAATAATACAAGTCAAGTGATCTCTTCGGTGATCCTTGTACTCTTTCCACAAATTTGGGTTTGTCATATTGAATTCTTTAAGAAATATATATTGTACAAATCAAACTGATGTTATAACTTCAAATACCAGTAAATCATGTTCGTTTGTTTTCTTATGTTAGGAAATAATTTACGAGGTAAATTGTATATGATTTCTTTTTGGAAATAAAATCCTGTCAGTGCACATCATTATCTTTCTTGTCTTTTGACTTGCAAGATTCCTATTATGCAGAAACGAAAGGTTTAAGGAAGAAATACAGAACCCTTCTACAAATTGCTTCACTAATTCAGAAAAAAAAAAAAAAAAAAGCAGACCCATAAACAAATTGTTTTATTTCTTCTAGTGATCCAAGCAAAAGCCTTTCAATAAATTTCTTTATACATATATATATATATAGCTAATCACCAAGAGAATTCTCATATTAATCACCAATCTATGAATTAATTAACTCCTAAAGCTAAATCTATTATTTAAGGGAATATGAAAGAGAATAAAATCCAAGAAAAATTTGGAACCTTGGTCTACGTAGCATCGCAACGGGCTGCCCCAAAGGTTCATGGGTCGAGCCTTCGAAGCCTTGCTACTTCTTTGGGATCCATCACACATTCGGGCATAGGAACAGCATTAACGATTCTTATCATAGCAATATGAATATGTCATATGCTTCCTCCTGAAATTCTTCATTTTCCTTCTTTGATCGGGAGTGACACCAGCACGAATTGGAGCTTCACACTTCGGGGGTTGTATTTGGATTGGGTTGACGGGGCATCCATTGAGCACAAAATCGGAGTATTTGGCAACAAAAGGGCTGTATTTGAGATCTATTTTGTATTTGCCTCCATGGGTAGCCCAATCAGACCCGTTCCATATAGTTCCATACAAGGTCATTGGCTTGGATGGCCAGTCACCCTCCATTGCTTCTGTCCTTCGAACCTCTCTAATGGGAACATCATCGACATAATATATGATCTGTTTCTCATTCCATAGAATACTGTACTAATGAAAATCTTTCCATGGATCAAACCAGAGATTATATCTCTCTTCTCGTCCTCTGTCGGTGCTTCAATTGCCATAAAAGTTGGTCTGCACCAACCAATTTTCACCATCGATGTGTCCCAAAAACTCAATGTCGATTTCATCGTGGTTGTAAGGGTGATTTTGGTTGTTTGCAACGTAAAACGCTACAACAACTCCTGCTGTATAGTCTTCTGGTAGTTTGATGGAAGCACTGAAGGAACCATACATGTAGGGTTTCTGAGAAGAGAATCCCGAACTGGTCCTTTCATCCATAGAAATACTAACAGATTTATCATTCTCATATGGAACTATGTTTTGCTCTCCATATAAGCGATAAAACCCCTCGTGGAACGATAGGGTTAATAGATTATGGGGTGAACCAGAAGAAAGAAAAATGACTATGCAAAGGAAGAGAAACCCTAAACAATAACTCAGCATCATGTATAAAATCTATTGCTCTAATGAATAACTTGTTTTTTTTTTGGGGGTACTCGTCATATGAATTCCATCCATTTACTGTAGCATTTGTATGTGGGTGTGAAGAGTTCCTGACAATCTTGATTAAATCTGAAAGCCTTCTATATGCGGATGAGTTTGATTAATGTGTAGCAGGCTGTATACAGCTTGCTTTCCGTGGAAAGGATTCTCCAGGAAGGTAATAATCTCTGTAATTTTGAAAATAAATCTTCATCGCCGGTCTATCAAATCTATAAAGCTTGGCAAATAAGATTTGACTTCATTAATAGCAAAGTGAATTAACCATCCACGCGTTAGCTATTTTACTGGAATTCATTAACTCTTCTGGATTTCATTAATTAAAACTATCCTTCTAGGTATACGAGGATAATAGCATTAAAAACTATAATACCAAAACAATTATCTTTGACTAATTAATTGATGAGATTGGGGCAGATCCAGAAGGATATGTCTTTTTTCGTTTTAGTAAAAAGAGGAAAATTGCATCATTCATTTTTACCCTAACCCAAGTTTTTTTTAAACCTTTTACCCAAAATGTTGTACTTTTCAAATTATTTCTCAAACTCATGTTGTTTTAAAAAGTCATTCCAATTGACCTTTTTACAGTAAAAATTGTCAATTAAAATGAAGTTTTTGTGTAAAAACGTTATTCGAACAAACGTCTTTAAAAACATTTTATTTTTTAAAAAATTTAGATAAAACGTTGGTTGAACCAACGATTTTGTAAAAATCCTTAAAAATGTGGGTTGAACCAACGTTTTTATGGCCCCTTTCTGTTTCCCTCTATCATTTTTCCCAAATTACCTCATTCGAAATTCAAAATCACAGACCACCATTCCACCACAGGCAACAACACCACCAAGGCCACAACCCCATCACCACCACCATCACTATTTCACAGGTCCAGCACCACCACCATCGGAAGCCCACACTCCAAGCACCATCACCATCGGAAACCCACAGCCCCAGCACCACCACCACCATCCGAAATCACCCAAACCCACAACAACCATCATCCCAACCCCGTCCCAGCCCAAGCCAGAACAAAACCACCATTGACTATTTGTGGCCACCGATTTTCTGGGATGAAGTCTATTGGAGTCGGTGATTTTCTGGGTTAAAGTCCATTGGAGTCGGTGATTTCTTCAACTAGGTATGAGTTTTTTTTCTTCTTGAAGTCCATCGAACAAAATGTGCTACATCTAATATATTGTTATTCAATATTTTATTATTCAGATAGTTTTTTTGTTACAACTGCGTTGTGTTTAATGTAATTAACATCTTACAAAAATGCTAAATCTTGGTGCAAGGATTTGATCTGTTCGACAAGGCTATCTCCTTTATTATATCGAATACATTAGAAGGTTGGTGATTGTAACTTTGTTGGGTTCAGATCTAGGGTACCAACCCTCATTATTTAGACAATGAAGATTGTTTGGAAGGGTTTGTCTTGATTGAACAATTCAAAAACTACTTTATGTGCATGTCTCTCTATCTTTTGCTTTTGTGTATAACAATGAGCTCAAAACCAACAGGGATGATGAAGGCAATGGTAACGGTGGTGGTGTAGGATTATTAATGGGTCATGTCACGTCGTGTTGCTAATTGTTTTAGTTATGGTATGTTAAAATTTGTTCACTCTATAAGTAACACATAAAATGATAATAATGAATTTCATAGATCATGTCAAGTTTTAAGACTTTGAGAATAAATCTATCTCACAATGAGGGTGAGAGGGTCAGTGTATTCATTATTTATAGTTAAAAGTACAAAGCGTATGCAAACTCATTTGATGGGTATGTGCACAATAAATGTAAATCTTGGAATTAATTATCCTGATAAGAAAAGAAGATCACGAGGAGATAACATCTTTGGATCTATCTGTTGAGCCTTAATATTTGAAATTCAAAATGGTGCTATTAGAGTTTACATCGTCTATATGTCTTTTTTAGTAAGATTCTTGTTGTATTTAACTGGATTAGTATCAATCCATTTACATGACAGATTCGGTGAGTTAATCTGCTTACCATTTGATCCCGCTAATATTCAACTTAAATTCATCTTATTTTGTATTGATTTTGTGCTGGGTTTTTGGATTGTATGTAGAATTAATAGGCTTAGTTTGTCTAGGTAGCCAAGATGGATCATCTGCATTACAAAATGAATTAAAATAGGAAAAATATAGGATTCAGGAAAACAAGAGACAATTGAGTTTAACATCTTACTAAAAACATCTTGCATTTCTGAAGTTCAAAATATATCTTTCATTTTTAATAGTCTGCAGCTTTGGATGCTTAATTTCTCACTGATAGATTATAAAAAGATGTATTTTCAAGCACTAGGATGAGTGGATGTGCATTACAGTTGAATAGATCAAGCAAAATTATGAATAGTATCTGATGTTTATTGTTGCGTTTGTTAGTCATTGAACTGATATTTTTAGTTTACTTTAATGAGTTTTGTCAATAAGATAAATCTATCTTTTTTCTTATGTTTATAATGTTTTGGGTTGGCCACGTCTCTTGAATATATTGGACTTGAATTTTTTTGTTATAATAGAAAGGTTCTCATATGTCGAAAAAATAAAAATAACATATAGCTCCCATAAAAGCCTGTCAAAAAAAAGGAAAAACACCATTTTAGTAAGGTCTAAGCTTTCCTTCTGTTCTGCGATAGTAGTTTTAAGACAACCTAAACATCTGCTTATAATGTAAAACGTCAATTGAACCAACATTTCTATAAATTGTTTAAAATTTCTTATATGATTAAAGTTCCATAAAATTTTCATAAATGTCCAAGCAACACAATTTTCCAACACCATCTCGGTCTCACAATCTTAGTAATTGCATTGTTGTTATGTCTCTTAGTCAACAAGCACCGCCAATGTCACTGTTTGTATCAAAGTTCATGGTATTTGTTTGATCTCCCAGTTTATTTGTTTGCTTGCTCAACACTTCCAACCCTAAGGTTTTTGTATTTTATCAATTCTTTAATGTCGCATGTCTTAAATTCCATGGGACTTTAATTAACTATGGATTGATTCTTCCTCAAGTATTAACCTTTTTTATCTATTCCCAAGTTCTTGTGAATTCAGAACTTATTCCACAACGAAACTAATTGAAATAGTAGGAAAACAAGTAACCGTTTTGCTATATTGGGGTGGATGAATGGAATATGGATTCGGAGGGTTTATCATATAATTTTCCTCCCAAAGGTGGAATTGTTATTAACAGTGGCACACAATTGTTAGAGTTGTTGAGTAAAATTTGCACTGTAATGGGGTTGGACAGGGCGCCTAACAAGTTGAAGTTGACATGTAGAGATATCCATTTACACTTGGAACAAGATCAAACATGATAACATATGTTGGTTTGAAAATTGTGAATGATGAACTTGTGACTAGGGGTGTTCACCTTACCATATGGGTAGAATTTCGTCTTCCTACCCGATACTTTGTGAAAGAATTTTTTCTTGGTCTATCATACCCGATCAGGTATGATATTTCTATCCAATTAATCGGATATGAAGTCGGGTAAACACTGTTTCTATTACTTAAGGAAACAATCTGTGAACAAAAACAAAAAATCCAATTAATCTACTACTTTTCTCCATTGATCCATACAACAAGAACAAGGATTAAATGGGTTTTGATTCAATTAGCAATCCACTTAGAAATGTCATTATGGGAGGGGTCAAATTTATCTCAAATCTGGTAAACAAAACAAAACACCAGTGGTCTTTGCACTTGGATTTGAGTATGAGATAACATGTTAATTTAGTGCATCAGGCTTCTATTTATTGGAGTTTTCTCACTGTCTAAACCACAAATGATTAGACATGTATAATCTTACCATCGTGTCAAATGCCAAGAGACTGTTTTCACTACTCACCCACTAATTCATGCCACCAAAGCTCAAGATTCCACACTGAGGTTTAAGAATGTCTCATTATATATGGAAAACAAAACCAACCCCTTGTTCTTTGCATGGACTAGGATATAAAACACACCCATTAGCCCAGAACAAAGATTAAACAAGAGCACATTTATGCCCTATTTTCCTTTTGTGGATCAAATTAATGACTTAGTTTAAATGGCTTGAACTAATAAACTATGAAATGAGGGTTTGGGTCAGTCACATTGATAGGCATATAGATTTCTCATAGGAAACACATGCGTGTAAGAAAAGATGAAATTGACTTGAGGCTTAAAACAAAATATGAGCACAGATCTGTAGATGAAAGCCTGCGATCAGACCAGACCAGGCAATCAATTTTTGCATTCTTCTTGCAATTAGACCAAGCCCTGAACGATTAAGGCCACCAGATCGCGCACAGGGAGAGAAAGAGAGAAAGAACCTAGATGGGAGGTCAAGACTGAACGATGAAGGAGAGGAGTAGAGTGCAATGAGGCGCTCGAATAGTCAGTATATCTATATAAATTAATGCAGATAGGATAGGATAGGAATACAAAAATTGATGGCTATTCTGCTTTCCTACCCGATTTAATCGGAAGACCAAAAATTCTGTCGTATTCCTACCCGATTTTTGCTGCTAGCCGTTCAGTAGAGTAGGATAATGTAGGAAATTATGACCAATTAGAAATTTGAACACCCTTACTTGTGACTTCTATAGTTAATGTGGTACTTGATAACCCCAACATTGCTAGTGTTGTACGTGGAGACGAAAGACATCAATGCTAGCATAGGCAGTAGTCAAACCAGAGGGAGCCTAACAATCACCACTATGTCTTACACTAAGTTACTTAAGCAAGAGATGAGTACCTTGACATTTTCAACTTTCAGATTGATGGGTGAATGTTTAACTCCTGCAGAGATGCATGTAATGGATGAGTTTGGACAGTACTCGTACACCTACTAAAGAACTGGCTCTGAAACATACAGTGGGTATTCGGCTAATAATT